AGATATTTTTCATTCTGATTCACTAAGGGCCACTTTACTTAGCTTGCAGAGAGGTTATGGATTTAAGAATATGTTTTTAATTGGGTGTAGATAATGACCACAATGCAATTATCAGTTTATTAACTGGGGAATGCACTCATAATGGACTTTGCTATTTTTGTCAATTCCTTAGCTTGACTGTAATGTATTACTTTCATAATATCAATTTAAATCAATGAAATGCCATGTTTCATAGTTATAGATAAATATGTGTCATTATTTGATAATTGCTATTGCTTATTAATGATTGCTCAATGATTATATAGTTGTGTTCTGACTTACTCACTTAAAAAATTAAAAATAAATGCCCCAAATATGATATTATCCTTGATGCAGTGCAGTATAAAAGTATAGACTGCATATTCCAGAAAAAAAATTAAAGAGGAAAGCGTTATAATGATTTCATAGCAACTATTTACACAATAAGATTTGGCGTTTTTAAATACCCATTTAACTATTTAACCAGATGAATATTAAGGACTCTATTCCTTCAGAATAAAGAAATTTGGTGACAATATTTAAAGCCATATTTTTAATTTAACTTTTACTTTTATTAAACAATCATAAGACAGATCAATTTTTAATTGATTGGCCATTAGCCCCCTTAATCACAGCCTGTTTTTGTCTCTAAATATAACCATTCACTCACCAGGGTTTCATTTCCTAGGGATCAGGTGCCTCAGCCAAGAAAGACATTATTCTCGAGGTCCCTAAATGGTGAGGAAGGGGTGGGAGTGTACAATACCTGTGGCTCCACCATTAGCTGCAGCTCAGGTTTTTGTTATGAGTAAGTCAGCCACGAAGCTATATTGTAATTGTAGCAGGTGAAACCACATATGTCCCTAAAGAGCCAATTATTTAAGCACAAAGGTAAGCATTTAATAGGCAGACATAAAATATGCAAGTGCCTTATCTTCGTGGGGTAATGTTTCTTTCATCTTTGTGGGTCAATTTTCACCAACTTTCACAATCGATACCTTGAACATACCCCCTGGACTTAAATTATGGAAGCCGTTGGCAGTTTTTGTTTTGTTTTTATTTAAAATACAGCCACTTGTGAGAAGCTTCAGAGTTTACAGTGTGATTTTTTTTTGGCAACATGAATATTTAAATGCAATTATTTTACTTATTTTAATGTAAAGATAAATTTAAAACACTAAGGGGGCCATGCAAGCACTAAAAGCATAGCTGTGCAGTGGTTTTGGTTTGTCTTTAAAAGAATTGAATGCATTTTTCAACGTACTAGAGTTTTTCTTAAGTTTAGGAATGATACTGTAGACAATTTTTAAATTTCTGAATTTTTAAGTAAACCACTAATAGCTATTGTCAGTATAATTTATGGTGATCTACTTTGTAAAGAAAGAAAAGAATCTTTAAAAATTATTATCTTAATTTTTGTTTCCAGATACCTTATTTAAACTTTTAATGTTTGATTCCTGTGTTTTATATAATATTTCAAAACAAATCATGCCAAATATTAGTCTAAAGAGGGCATAGTCATGGAATAAGACTCTTCGGCTGGTGGCAGATCCAAGAGTTAGCCAAGCACTTAGTAGGACCTGGAGTTATCAGGGGGTGGTAACTGACAAGGGCAAGACGGAAGGCAGTTCCAAGAATTATCCATGGTGTGGGGGGCCAGCTTCGTGAAATCAGGATGTCCACAATGTGTTTTTCCAGAGATAACAGAAAATGTTTCTATTTGTACCTGTTTTTATTACCAAACTTCACATCATCCTGCAAAACATGGTGACCTATCTTATTCTCTTCTGTATTTTAGTGACCAGCATATGCCTGTTATGTGATAGGTTCTAAAATGTTGAATAAATAAATACCGGAATCAGTGATCACCTTATAAGCAAACAGGGTCCACAATCTTGGAATCCTTGGTAGGTGGAAACATGGCACAAGGGATCCTAAGTGATGGAATTGCAAGATAACATCTACCTGTGCCAATGAGTTCATATTTCCTCTCCTGCATAATTTATACTCCAGGCTATTGGGAGAACTTGGAGAAGCCATGCTGAAAGCCTTCTGGCCCTGTCTGAGGATGTGTGGAGTAGAGAAGAGCGACTGGACAATTAGGAGAAAATATCTAGATTAAAAAAGAAAATGGAATATAAAGTTCTTAACGTTTTGATTTGCAAGCTGACGTTGATTTAGGGGAAAAGGTTAGCCTCACTTATTAAATGGATAGCTAGGCCCTAGGGTATCCATAAATAAAAAATTTAACCTTTACATATGTCAGAATACAACAAAATGTTTTAGATCTGTGTTTGCAACTGGTTGATTATAGAGACATGCATGGGGGACAGGCTTGCACAGCAATACAGACACTGGGCTGACTTACTAGCTCTGTAGCACTGGGTAATTACTTAACTCTACCATTGGTAACTCAGTTCTCTAATGGGAGGATAATAGGACTTGTCTCACAGAGCTCTTTTGAGGATTTTCTGTGTATATATGTGTGTGTATGTGTCTGTCTCTGTGTGTACACACACATATAACCCAAAACAATGTCTGACACATGTGTGTTAGTTATTTTGTTATAACTGTTAAAATATAGAAGAGTTCGCTCAATTAAAGGTTTCCAATTAGAAACCTTTCTGGTACACCCAGCCTGTTGCTAGTGTGTGATACTGTTTCCTTTTGTATCTTTGATAACATATTTAATTGGTGCCAATCTGAATTGTCTTTACTCTCAATTTAATGGGCTTCTCTACACACCCATACACTCTCACATAAACTAACATAAACACACAACAGGCATATATGCACATTCTTTCACACATTTACGAAATATCTCTATTTTGCTCTCATGCGTGCGCACATACACACACACACACACACACACACACACAAGATTGGCATGTTGGTTTCCAATTAGGCCAAGTCAGAATTACAGATGAAAAACAATTCAGAATTTTTGAAAACTTCTTATAGGCCAAAAACTCAGAGTTGTATTATGAGGTATTCAGATCAGTTAGCTCTTATCCTTTATTTATTTTTCTACTGTATTTTAAAGAGTATGCACATATATATGAAAACTCACACATATATAGTGTGAAGATAATTAGTAATTTCTGAAGAACATTGATGATTAAATTTTTGGATGACTGTCAGATGAAATTTCAGTCATTGATTCTTAAATCCACAGCTTTCAGCCGTTTGAAATACATGTTATGTATATGTGTATGTATGTACAAAGCCCTTTTTATATGAAAGTTTAGTGTGAGTTCGAATGGACAAGGACTGAACAGTGCATTGAATTGCTCAGTTTGGGTCATCAGGCCTGAAATTCTGATTTGTTGAATCCCTTCACTCCAAGTCTCGCAGGAACTCCTAGGTCTGCCCTGAGAACTTGAAAACCAAGATCAACTTTCTGTCAAACACTTCCCTCTATGTTAAGCATTTTTATGACATCATCAAAGTCTAGTCTTCATAAAATGCTCTAAGACACTTACTATCCCAATTTTAAGATGACGAGAATGAGGCTAAGAGAAATGAAGTGCTCACATTTGCCCAGCTAATAAGTCTCAGAGCCAGAATCTACACTCCTGTCCACCTAATTCAAAACCCCTGCTGCTTACTGCCCTTCAAGGAAGCTGGACACATTCCTTCTGTGCTGCAGTTGTAGCGACTGTGGACCTTTCCTAAAAGGAGCTAGTGTCAAAAAGTGATGCTAGCCAGCCAGAAGTGGCCCGTTTCTAGCTGCCCAGACCCCTGTCGTAACCATTCCCTAGGCTAATTGGAGCCATTTGCTTTGATCAAAACCTAAGAGGAGGAACTAAAGGTATAATAATTATTTAGTACTTAATTTTGCATACTGTTCTCTGTTTTTTTTGTTTGTCCTTTTTATCAATTGCTCATCCATTTATTTGTCTAGCTCGCCTATATTTCCCTCTCCTTCCTTGTCAGGGAATAATGACATTTGTACCTATTACTTCTTTTACCACTCCCCCGCCCCCTCCATCCTTCCTAGAAAAGAAGAAACGAGAATTATTTTACTTTCTTGTCTCTCCACATTATTTATCCCCATTACTCTTGGGTCTGATGGAGTTTTTATAATATAACTATAAAAGATGACATTTCATCCTATGAGAAAAATGTCTTGCTTAGAACCTAGCTACGTGAATGGATGGATTTTTCTCCATGACTTAATTTTGTGACCCAATTGGGGAAACTTTCAGTTTTATTAGCAGCTGTCTTCTCTTTTCTTATCCAATATTCAGCTTTTAGCACCTAGCTCATGGCTTAAAGTTATTATTTAGACTTCACAAATCCTTCCAAACACTTTTTCTTAGGTACGGAAACAAATAACACTGCCTGTGATTTTTCAAACAAAGCTGTAATATTTGCAATCCATATAAACACTGCATCTGTAAAGAATGCTTGTTTAGCTTCAGTCACATTAAAAAGTGCTGATAGGAGTGGAAATACAAAAGAAGATGTGTGTGTGCTTTTTTCCCCACAGGTTGAGAGTTGACTCTAAAAGGGAAAATGCTGAGTGTTCCTTAAAACACAATGTGAACTTCTTTATTTCTCTCAGACATGAGTTGCCAAAATGTAAACATTTCAAGAAGAAATTTTACACCACCTCATCTGTATGTCAAATGACATTTAATGGTTGAACAAAAGATGGTCCAAAATCCAGGCAGCTCTTGACTGCTGCACAAATCTGGGAATTAAAATGACAGTTGATCAGGGGACCTTTTCTAGCATAAACTCCAAGGCAACCATTTCAAGTCAGTTACTATCAACAAGTCAAACGTTTTTTACTTGGATTTATATTTTCCTAGGAAGACCTCACAACTTTCTCGAGGGCATTTGCTGTTGTTTGGATGTTACATATAAAGGTGCTGATTCTTTTTGGAGCCTAGTTGAGTGGACTGTTGCTCTTCATTTGAATTGGTATCTTGCAGACACGTAGGGCATTCACCCGGTGTTTCTTTCCCTCCACATAGGTAGAAATAACACTTCAGGATATCAATGACAATCCACCTGTATTTCCAACGGACATGCTGGATTTGACCGTAGAGGAGAACATTGGAGACGGCTCTAAAATTATGCAACTGACAGCCATGGATGCGGATGAGGTAAATCAGAGCCTGTCTCTAAATTTTCGAAACCTATTATTCCAGTGATCTATCAAATTTCTAGTATATGTTGACAATTTTATTACCTGATAAGGTTAAGCAGTGTGTGCTGTTCTCCAAAGAACATGAATTGTTGAGATGTGTTGTCAGGATGCTAATACAGAGACCATCGAGAGGTAAGTTTCCTTTAATCAGCAATTCACAACTCAGTTACTAGCTGCATTTTAGGTTGCTTAGCCAAATTATTTTAATTCTCAATAAAAAAAATCCCTATTTTTATGCTTTTATTATTCCAATATGCTGCCTTGATAGCAGCTAAGGATTGATTTTTATTGGTGATTTTAAAAACCAAATCATTTAAAATTTAAAAACATTAAGGCTGTCTTACAATTTTTCATTTAATTTGAATATATGTATAAAACAAAATATATAGTTCAATAATAACCTTACATATTTTAAGGAAATTATCTAGGCAAGCTAAGAAATATTTTAAAATTCATTAATAAACAGAAAAGTTTTGCCTATTGGTGAATGTGAAATTTGAGAGCAGCTTAGGTTACTATCTTTTATATTTATATTTTAAGTTTAGCCATGTGATCATCATGCTCCAAATGCCATGGCAAATTATATAATTAGTAATTTATATTTTTCCTGTGGAAGGGGAAATCGCTTGTTTTCTCCTTCTTGCTAGGCAAAGGGATTAGTTAATGTTCTGGAGTTTTGGAAAGAGGAATAACCTTCCCAGACACCAATATCCCCTTTCTACCTACACTATGCCCAGGATAGATCAGAGAATTCTCTTACCTTTGGTTGAATTCCAGAAGTGTTTGAAAACCTGATTTTTGATCGATGAGTAAGATCTTCATAATTTTATTTCTTTAACCTTAAAAAAGGTAAATAACTCAATAAAGACTAATTTTAACAGCCAATACAGAAATGTAATGACTTAGTCACTGATAAATTTTGCCAAAATCTAACTTAGGAAAAGGAAACAAAATAAAACATAGACATTTAAATATTAAAAAAGGTTTGGTGTGTTACATTTAGTACCTTCTATTCAGTTTTATATAGTTTTCTGAAAAGTGTATTCCCAATTCCAGCTACCATTTAGAGTTATATTACTGAATATTCTATTATTATTGATAGATATGAGATGATATCAGCAATAATTTAGTAAATACTGCATTTTTTGAAGCTCATCATGGATAATATCTATAATATAAAATATATAATATGTATAATATCTATAATATAAAACTTAATTCATAAAATTTCATTAACTCATTTAGCAAAATAGCATTAAAAAAGCTTATGTAAATGCTGTAAGACAATTCATATCAAATTATTGTAATTGTAATGAATGTTTCATTGGCCATACTCTGTAGGAATAGAACAAATGAACTTCATTTATAGCCAGTGGTTTATTCAAAGAGTGAGGCAATAACCATGTTAATTATAATATGTACATGTCTGATAGGATATACTACTCTATTAAGAATTGATTATTTGAGAGAGATGCCAACATTTAACCCTTTTAATACTGTCATCATGCTGTATTGTTAAAATTTTATTCCCTCCCTTTTTGTTTTTCTTTTCAAGATATGACAAGGGTTACACAAATGTACTACTGCTTAGTTGTTTATTTTGTCCATCTGACGTGTGTGTGTGTGTGTGTGTGTGTGTGTGTGTGTGTGTGTGTGTGTAGCACTTGCATTGCCTTCAAGTTCTTCTTTTGAGATATGTTTACATTTACAATGAGATTTACGGAAATCTGGGAAGGTTCTTAAGCCTCTACATCCACATGGTTTTAGTGCATCTTGTTTTATTTCTGTTGAACTTCATTTTATAAGTTTTTTTAAAAAAATGTACATAACTATGTAAGTAGACATTCTAGTTTTAAAAAATGCTGACTGTAAAGTATCTAGGATATGCCAGAAGTGCGTTTGGGTGAGACGGGCAGACAGATCTAAGGCCATAAAGCAGGAACCCACCGGGAAAATGGAGGGAGGATTGCTTGCAATTCGAGGGAGGTCGGGGTACCCACAATTTGTGCAGAGTGTGACTGTGCCTGAAGGCATGAGGATCGCCATGGACTTTGTCCTGGGAGCTGTGCCCGGAGGGGTGGAGGGGGCGCGGGGGAAGGCAGGAGAGGGGAAGGGAGGCATAGGTCTGCCTCCAACATAAAGAAAACGGGGCTTTTGGAAACTGCTTTGGGACTATACTTTTTTTAAAGATGAAGCTCATGAGTTCACTTTCCTTCTTGAATACATTTTCTCTTAATTTCTTTTAGTAGTATTTTAATGACTACTGATTATTTCATCTCCTGACTTGAGGAACCAACATTTATTTGTTCCCGTGCCAAACAGAATGGATATCTAGGCTTCCCATGGCTCTCAGAATTATTGGTGGTTTTTCTTTTTGTTGTTGTTGTTTTGTTTTTTGAGTGGCTTACAATAAATTAATATTAGTGCTTTTATATAAACCTTTTTTCTATTTTTTACTCTAGTCTCAGCTCCTTACCTCTTAGTTGAATTTGAAAATATATATACGTGTGTGTGTGTGTGTGTGTGTGTATGTATGTATATATATTTGAAATGTTTCTTTCTTACCAAATCATGGTTCTGTTTTTGTGTTTTTTTTTTCTTCACATAATTTGACTAGGACTCAGTATTGAAATTCAAGAGGTTTCTTTTACTTTGTGGTCAGTGTTAACCTAAAAATAAAAAGCCAAAGCAAAAGGCACTTTATTTGAGATAAAAAAAAAATTGCAATCCAGGGGCATAGGTTCAGGCAGACCCATATTGTGACCCAACTCTTGGGTGAGGGCAAGGAGTTTTTATGAGAAAAGGAAAGACTAGATTAATTGAATTTCTATTGGTGATAACAAGCTAGGTTACTCTTTAGCTACAAGTACTCATGGCTGGTTACTGATTCTAAAGAACATCGATAATGTCAGTCCTTGTGGTCAGGATGTCTGCTTTCCCATTAGCTCTAAAAGCAGTTGTTTGGAGTACAATGTTGGGTTGGCCAGTCTGAAGGTTATTTGCCCAATTCAAACATTCAAAGGTTCAAGGAGAGGGAAAATGGAGGTTAATAATAAAAGATGCATGAAAAAAAAAATGTTCAAGGAGAAAGACCTTCAAGGCAGTTCCACTGGGATGGTGGCTCCGACTCCATTTTGAAATGGCTCCATTTATATCATTTTTCACATCAGCATTAATTGGTCACATAAGTATCCAGTCAGTTAGTTTTGAGAAATTAATAGAATTCTTTAAAACACTAAGATTATGTAGGTTATCAACAAATTATGCATATGTCTTGATATATTCTTCACTATTTATAAACTTTTCCTTAATAATTAAGTCAAATATAAAAGCATGAGTATGTTAAAGAAACTCTAGTAGGGCACTGGAGAATAATGCCTGGGTAAAGGAACCAGTTTTAGAAAGTAACATGCACATGCTAAACTTAATGTAAATGTCATCTGGAACACGTGTTGGGCTGAGATACACATCTTTCAGAAGCACGTGACCGTGTCAGTCTCTTGTTTCCTTTTGTAAACAGAATTATTATGCTTGTAATGGTCCCGGATACTCATGCTTTGTTTCATGGTACTATACTTGTTTTTGAAAATACTACTTAAGGTTGTAAAATGCATTTGCAATTTATAGCTATTTACTTTTAGAATTCCTTCACATGCTTTTGTCTCTGTGGTTCCTCCAGAGAGTAAAATATTTTTAAACAGCGTTATTTCCACTGTGCTGCAGCTGAAATACAATATTTGTTTCCTGATACTGCATATTTTGGATATTAAATAAGTATACTTTTCAAAAGCCCTAATTAAATCATAACTCTTGGCCAGATATTTTTATATATTCACTAGAACTATTAATTCAACCACATCAGCTGATATTGAATATGAAAAATATTGTTTTATCAATGTAGTTTGATACCTTTGCTGCTTTCTGTTCAGAAGAATTATCTTAAGTTTAGGAGTATTATTACAAGTCATTTTATAGACAGGACATTTCTAAATTTCAAACTGTTTGTGTGTAATAGCTTTTAATATGTTTTGTTTCTTTGCTTTCCCTAATTTCCAAATACTTACCATTTTAAGAATTGAATGTAGCCGTTTTCATTCCTGGACTGTTTACAAAAATAATCTAATTCCTTGTGAAATAGAACAAATAATACAGAATGTGGTCAGATTAGAAGTCTAAAATTCTTATTGAATGTTTTTATTAGACTGTACAATTACAGTAAATATGTTGGCTACTCCATGTACACCTGAATACACAAGATAAATGTGGGCAGTATGTTAAACTCAGCTGTTTCATTACTAAATTAAAATGTGCTTTCAGGCATTCACTTTATGAAATGCTAAGATTGGCTTGGGAATGCAGTATGAAAATATAGCAAACGCCACTAAACATAAATTTTGAAAGATGATTTTACCTTTGTTAAGAAATCATTGACTTCTATATTTGACTGTGAAAGATAAAGTATTAATCTCTGATGGAAAGATGTATGGAAACTGTGAGTGCTGTAATCTCCCATTACATCAGCCTTATGTTCCCACACACCCTAAATTCATGTTCTTCCTAATGTCCTTCTTGTGAGTTCTTAGCCTGGATATTTTAATAAGTAGGTTAACAATGGTAAAATATATATTGTTTTATGTGAATATATTTAAATAAAAAAGTAATTTTTGAAGACAATTCCAACATTACTTATACCTCAGTGTCAAGATGCAATAATTACATATAATAGAAAATCAGGAAATACATTTTCCCTAGGATGTGTAGCAACTCTAATCATAGTTTGATTTAAATTATTCATTTGCAGACATCTCACTCAGCAAATACACTTAACCAATTATATTTATTTTATAAGAAAATATTAAAGGTAGGAATAAAAATAGCAACTAACATCATCATATACTTACTGTTTCTCAAGGATTATTCTAGCTTCTTTCCATGTAGTAACTCATTAATCCTCATCACAGCCCATGTGGCAGGTGATATTATCATCTTGATAGTCCAGATACGGAAACATGGGCTCAAAGAGCCTAAGCAGTGTGGCCAGTGACACATATTAGTAAATTGTGGAGCATGGGTTCCACCCAGAAGCATGGCTCCAGATCATCAGCTTTCATCCAGTGTGGTGGAGAATATTTAACTCATTATTTCAATGATAACATATATAATTTAAAATATGTCAAACTGCTTATATTTTCAACAATATAAAGATAAGTTTATAATAGATTTTGAAATACTGTGGAGTTAGTGTGCTCCATCATCAAATCTAGATGGGTGCTTTAATTGTAACCTCCTTAATTTCTTTATTTTGCCTTTGTTGAAGCCTCCTCTTCCTCCACGTCTTCCCTTTAATCTCTGTGCCAGGCTACTCCTCTGGGTCGCCTCCTAGGTCTCTCCTCCTTCGTCCTCCCTCAACCCCTGCCTCTGCTCCTTCTCCAGCACTTAAAAATGTCAACATTTGGTCCTTATGCTGTTCCTTTATCCTTTTAAATTCTCAACAGATCTTGAGTCTTCTTTCCTTATGGCAGAATAGTATTCCATTGTGTATATATATACCATATCTTCTCTATCCAGTCATCTATGAAGGGACACTTTGGTTGTTTCCATGTCTTGGCCACCATGCATCTTGAGATTATTATGCTAAGCAAAATAAGACAGAAAAAGTTGAGAACCATGTGATTTCACTAACATGTGGGTATATAAAACTGAAAACAACAAAGGAACAAGACAAACAAATGAAGAAACAAAAACTCATAGAGGCAACATTTTAGTGGCTACAAGAGAGTAAGGGGGGAGGGGGTGGTAGATGAAGGTAAAGGGATCAAATATATGGTGATGGAAGGAGAACTGACTCTGGGTGGTGAACACACAATGTGATTTATAGATGATGTATTACAGAATTGTATACCTGAAACCTCTGTAACTTTACTAACAACTGTCACTCCAATAAACTTTAATTTAAAAAAAATCTTGTGGCTTCAACTGCCACCTACATATGTTGACCTTCAGATGTTTTTCTCAAATCTCTGACTGGCACATAATCATTTTCTATGAAACTGCCCTTCAGTCTCTTAACATACCCTACATAACATTTCACTGGATAGTTTCTGTGGCAAAGCATACCCTTTCCTGAAATGTCTTCAGCAAGTGTATTGTCCTGATTCCTAGGCACAGTAATTTGATATTACTTTTTTATTTTCTTTCGCTTGCACCTATCACATAAACTTGTTGAAAGAAGGATTGAGAATATATGGGAATGTTGAACAAATGAGAATATTGTTATTATTGTTATAGTCAATATAACAATATCAGATATTCCCAATTTGTCCTGTATGTTATGCTGGCGACGTAATGATTTAGAGTCTAATTTCTGGAACAGGGCATCCAGGTGTAAATTCCTATGTTTCATTCAGTCTCTTTATCATCACAATGGAGATAATCGTAGTACTGACGTAAGTGGCTGGCCTTTTCAGATTGTCACTTGGTGCCCATGAAGCAATGGGCTCAGAGCAGCGCTTTGCACTTAATAAACACTTAACAACTGTTCTCCCTTCCTGCACTTTCCATTCTTTGCACCAGCTTCCTGGTTCATACTTCAGAGTTTTTTAGGCCCATGGCTCACAGACCTGAGAGGACAGAAGAAATCACCCATTTTCATTTTACAGCACCGGGACTTGGAACCTGCGAGGAACACAGATTGTATAAAGCGCCCCCTCGAGGAAACGAAGCGCCGTTCTTCTGGGCTCCAGCTCGCCTCACTGCCTCCCTTCTCTGGCCTCGCCCCACACCAGGCCATCCTCAGCATCTTCTTTTGTTAAAATTACGTTAAAACTTTCCACACAACCAAACGGTTCCGCAGTGAGGCAAGCAGCTCATCCTTCCCTCTGCACGTGTGCCTCTACGCAAACGTTTTCCCCTAAATTTGCTTGAAAAAAAAAATCCTTGGCTTCAAACCCCAATTCAGTTCCACACATAAGCCTCCATCCTATCTTCCCTAAATAAATCAAATCGAAATAACCTCCCATGTAATGCAGTGAGTGGTGGAAGACCAGGGAACATAGTATGTTAGCCTGTTACCTTCTGAAACGTTCTGGTATCATATGAAATTAAGCCCAGAGTCTCACTGTGTCAGATACACACTCAGCATAAGAAGGGGTGCTCTTACTGTTCGTCTTCTAACAGTTCAGACTCTTGCCTTTTCTCTCTCTTAGGGTGCGAATGCTCTGGTCACGTACACCATCATTAGTGGAGCTGACGACAGTTTCCGCATTGACCCTGAATCTGGGGACCTGATAGCGACCAAGAGATTAGACAGAGAACGCCGTTCCAAGTACTCCCTGCTGGTTCGTGCAGATGATGGTCTGCAGTCCTCGGATATGAGAATTAACATCACCGTCAGTGATGTGAATGACCACACGCCCAAGTTCTCCAGACCTGTGTACTCTTTCGACATCCCAGAAGACACAACCCCAGGTAGAGAGCCCCCCCCAGGAGTATTTTGCAAGGATCCCCTTTGACTACAATTATGGACTGTGTTTGGCTGCTTTCAGTGACTAGTTGTTGCTATATGCTATTAGGTATAAAAATATATATGCTGGATTTTTGAATATTTTAGTTAACTTTCTTTGCTATAATTTCCAAGCAAATTGCTTGATTTTTGAGAGCAAATGAAGTTAGCCATTCATCTGATTACTAGTTACAGATATTTTTGTTTCTGAAAGTATTTATGACATGGGTTGTTAATTTTTCTGGCAACCACAGTTTAGATATTATTTTTCCATTTTTAAAATGTCAGTTGTGATTATGCTGCTGTGTATAGAAGGAGCAAAGAAAAACACATGAAAACCTGCAAATAGTGGTTCTAACTCTTTCTGGCTGTTTGACCCAGGGCAAGTTAATTCATTGAGGATTAACAGGTGCTTAATAAATATTTGTGGACTATGAATCCTGAATTATCACCTTGCTTCTTTGAACATACTATGTTGACTGTTGAGTTTGACTATTCAATATCCATGTTTCTGGTGTGTGTACCTCACACCAATTGTTGGAAAATCTTATCTAAAGTTGAAATTTTATTCTGAATTACAGTTGGAATGAGTTTTCATCATCAGGTATATGTTTTGGAAACTCATTCGATCAAGAAGGAAACATTTACAGAGGGCTGCTTATTCCTTGCTGCAGTTTTCCCTTCACTCTTCAGGATGAGTCGTTCATGTGCTTCATGGAGTTCCCACTACCTTTACTTCTTGCCTTAATTATAGCAATGGCTGTAGGAGCTGTCAAGCGATATCCCCTGGGCATAAGTTTGTATTATTGCGTGGAATCCCCAGTTCCAGACACTAGCACATTGCTACTGAACACACCAATACGTGGTTAGGAATTGGTAGTGCCAGTTAGAAAGATGTCAGGAGTAGTATCAGTTCCCCAGATCATGTACACGGCAGCATAAGATCTACTGGACACTGAATATGCCACGTGTTTATTAACATTCGGGAATGTTGGTATTGGCATTGATGTAGAAATCAGCACGATGTTATGTTCATATATTTTCATAGCGATTCTCTAGTTAAAATATTTCACTGTACAAGTAATTTTGGGGTGTATTTACATATGTTCTCTTAGTGATACCCTTGTCCCATTAATTTTAGACTCTTAATTTGTTCTTTTTGATAGGTTCTTTGGTAGCAGCTATTTTAGCTACAGATGATGACTCTGGTGTGAACGGAGAAATTACATACGTTGTGAATGAAGATGATGAAGATGGCATATTTTTCCTGAATCCAGTTACTGGAGTCTTTAACTTGACTCGAATATTAGATTATGAATCACAGCAATATTATATCCTCACTGTTCGAGCTGAAGATGGTGGGGGACAATTTACCACCATCAGGGTTTATTTCAATATACTAGATGTAAACGATAATCCACCTATTTTCAGCTTGAATTCGTATAGCACATCTTTAATGGAGAATCTCCCTCTAGGATCTACTGTTCTTGTGTTCAATGTTACCGATGTAGATGATGGTACGTACTTTATTTTATAATACTTAAAAAAAACTTTGAGAAAAATGTCATCAGATTTATATTAGATTTATTGAACTGTGTTCAGCTGTCACAAAATTGTGTTTTGTGAATATAGGTCCAAAGTTGAAGAATAGATCTGTAATTTGGCTATAGAGGATTAAACACATTGAGTAATTTATCAGTTAAATTGTTATTTATATAAGCTAAATGGCATGTATTATTACCTTTTTATAAACTTTATCATCTCCATCTTCCTTTCCCCCCCTAAATGTGAGGCAGTATTGCAGTTCAGCAAGGTAGATGTCACAAAACAGCTTTTTGGCTGTTTTTTGTCAGATAAATAAACATATTTAGTTTCATATATTACTTTAATGTAAAAAGGATAAAATCTGGAAGCAAAAGTAAAACCAAAATCTTCAAAAAATACTTAAGAATATCTAATTAGTTTTATATTTCTGACTGAAAACTGCTAATAATATTTTAGCAAGCTTTCATGCTTTGACTCAAAGGACAGTCTCAGAGTTCCTTAACTTATGCTAGAAAATCAAGTTGAGATTTTGCATTAAATCTAGACTTCACAGGTGTTTGATTTTTAGTCGTTGCAAACACTTGATAAACTTTTTTTTAAATGTGACTCCCCTGGCCTTCCTTCTAAGACTTGTTTTGTAAATACACAGATAATACAGCCTGAGAGATAGCATTGTGCAGATTATCAGCCTTTGACTGAGCTGTTTGGAAAGTTAATGCCTTGTTTTCTCTCCCATTGGATGCAGCTAAATGTCCTATCAGTAGAGCAAACAAGGGACAGTATTTGAAGAGGAAACAGGTCTCTAGCTCAAGGATATGCCTCTTGACACAGGCACAGGGACCTTAAATTAGAATTTCCTGGTGCCCCTGACTTGGATGATTTATGTAATCTCAGAATACCACTCTATTTCAACATTTTGCTCTATACTTAACTTCCTGTCAGGAGTGCCTGGACATGTACCTAAACAAATATGAAAGGCCAAAAGTGCAGTATTTTGTACACGTATGAGTTCACAACATTGGAAATGCTTTCTTATTAATTAAGTCTTGTTGAAGTCTTCTCCTTTTATTCAAGCACAGTTAATACTAGACACATGAACATATCTAAGCTAGAAGTGGCTGTAGTACTAGTACTACTAGTATTGCTGATAACATGAACAATAATAACCGACATTTGTTGAGTGTTTAGTATACACCCAGCCCTGGCCAAGAACACTGCACACTGTTTCATGTCCATCAGCCCAGCTCCATGAATTGCTGCCAATTTGACATTTTTAAACAGTTGAGATTAATTTCCATTTTGGAAGTTGGTTTTTCTGTTATTATAGCCTTCATTAGTTTACCTGTTCTCTGGATATGAGTATTTTCTTATTTGTCCTTGTGACTGACTGGTCCCAACTTGTCTGTGGTGAAGAATTTTCGGCCATGTTTCTTTGTGATTTATTTATTATGCATTAGAGAGAGCCCATTGTTTCATGGGATTGTGTGCTCTTCTAGAATAAATTTCATTTATTCTCAAACTTGGAAATGAGGGAATTGGGAGAATAGCATATAAGAAACTTTTTTGTGAAACATGCTGGAATATACCATGCACACGTCTGCACAGACATACATTAGCCATTGACTTCAAGTTACTTTTCGTGGATTTTTTTTCCCCTTTAATTGTGTTGGGTAAGAAAATTTTAAGCTACATTTTCCCATTGTTTTAGTTTTGACTACTTTTATCAGTATAATTTCCTGTACTTTATCCTAAAATATAGGACACAATTCCTGTTTTCTCTGAATTTTAAGGATAATGATAAGACTGTATGAAGGTAACTTTGTTAAAATTGCCAACTCAGTCCCACTAAAGAGTTCTTAAAGTATTTTGCAAACAGTATTGTTCAGATTTTTTAAAGTTAACAAGTTCACCTTAATCTCTGAACAAAATGTTCCTGATGAGGTAATATTGTCAACTTCTTTGATGAGGAAATTTTACATGGTAATAAATTTAAGATTTTCTGTTATCTGTATTCTCCAAGAGTTTAACCTAAAACTTTTGATTACATGATTACTTAATTAGAATAAAGCAAATATTTTGCTGTTTTCACAAGGTAGGTATGAGTAGTGTGTGTATTGATCTCAAGGCTTCCATGCATACAGTTTAAAAGTACTATATTGAGGTAAGCTATTATAAATTGAACCTTATGGAAATATTTTGGCTTTGGTAATTTTTTTATTACTCTAGAAATAAATCTGTATACTCTTCAAAATACTGAGGAGTCATAGGGTGTTTTGAGAATAAAATGATTGTAATTATCACTGAATCAGTTCACCTGTATATGCTTCATACACAATGCAGGCCATTTGGCCTGTGAATGGTTTTCATAGTCCAGTGACCTGATGGCTTCGTGGGAACTGCTTCACAAAGATGAATGCTACCTGAAGCAGTGCCATGTGTTACAACTTTATGATAAGTTGGCAAATACTAGTTCATCATAGAAATAGGCAATATTTACGGATTGTGAATAAACATACACATTTTAAAACAGAACTATATACCTACAGTTATGTGTTATGTTTCCTGGAACTAAATAATTCATGAGACTGAAATAAAAAAGAAAACAACAAAAAAAATCTAATACAATCACACATATACAATAAAGCTGCCAGAAAGAATCATATAACTAAACCATTTTCAGAGCTGAGCACAAATGGTTAGTTAGAAACACGGATCATTTTAAGTTTGAAAATCAGGTGGGCTGTAAAAGCCCACTAAATCCCAACACTTTGGATAAATTGTAGAATTTAAAAATAAATGTATTACTGTTTCATGATCCTACTATTTGATGTAAAAGGCAGTGGAAGAAAAATGGCCTGAGCTCTCTAGTTTTCACTTGACTGCAAATATTCAGGAGAATTTTGAGTTTCAACATGTCTACATGTATTTCCTGGGTGTAGAGCACATGCCCTAAGTCACTTAGACTTGTCAGAAATGAAAGGTCCTTTTCTGTACAATAAAGTCAATACAGGAGGCTTCCAAGGCCTGTAATTACAGCAGTGAGGCTTCTATTCCAGAGATGAGAGATGGTTTTTAGATGGTGTGGCGATCTTTTGTGCAAAACTAATTAATATTTTTATGTTCTTTTTCTCAAAGATAATGATAGTTACCGTTGGTTCGTTTTTAATATTGTTAACAATATATCAGTATGAATTTAAATATAAAATTGATTTTTTCTTTTTTTCACAATTCAAGTTAAAGTTTAATGGTTATTACTTCCTCCACTCACCTATCCAACAAACTTTTTCCCTACAAAGAGGCTGCTACGCTGTTTACAACAAGGCTATAAAATCTTGGTATCATGTTCTCTTTTTGCCTCTGCAGTTTAGTTGTTTACTCAAGGAAGCAGCATACACAGTGGATAAGGGGGTTCCGATCATTGATTTAGTTGCTTGCTTTCCAGTTGATTTATGTAGAACTGCTAGGCCATCACTTTGTAGCTGTGTGCAGTTTTGTCAGTGTTTGTAATTGCTTTTGATCTTGGGCATGGAAGATTTTATATGCTTGCATGGAACTAAATTTTAGATCTCTGTTTGTTGGTATTATTTTTATCCAGATGTTTTCAAAGCTTCTTTTTCAATAATAGGCATGTCTGAATTGTGCCTCAAAGAATAAGAATTCAATATTCACTGAAGTATTTAGCCATAGGAAATGCAGAAAATTTCCTTAGAGAGTAATATATATATATTGGATTTTCGGAAAAGCCATGACACATGTTTGCAACAGATGGCACTAGTTCATTTTTGGAAGTACTAGAGTCATTCACATCTATGTTATTGCTACGTCATTTGATAGCTGACAGTTCTAGCTTCATTTTTTTAAAAAAATTGAGCGATTTGGTTGCGTTTTGGAGATTTTACAACAGGTTAAGATGGAAGACCAAACTGTGCATTTTTGCCATATTTTACTGTTTTACTTCCATGAAGGGAAGAACGCTCGTCAAGCTTGTAAAAAGTTGCATAAAGTTTATGGTGACAATGCTCTACAAGAATGTCAGTGCCGGCGATGGTTCATGAAACTCCGTGCTGGTGATTTTGATCTCAACAACGCTCCTCGGTCAGGGAGGCCCACCGAGGTTGATGACGACAAAATAAAGACATTGATCAAGTCAAACCCACATTACATGACACAAGAGATTGCAGAAACAGTGAACATCCATCATTTAAGCGTTCACGACTACCTGAAGAAGCTGGGTTATGTAAGCAAGCCCAATATTTGGGTTCCGCATATACTCAAAGAAGTTTATTTGATGGTGTGTATAAACATCTGCAATATGCTCATTAAACATGAAGAAAACAATCCTTTTTTGAAACAACTGATAACTGGTGATGAAAAGTGGATTGTTTACAACAATATGGTGCACAAATGGTCTCGGCCCGACGTGATGATTCGCCTCAAACCACGTCGAAAGCAGACATTCATCAGAGGAAGGTTATGCTCTCAGTGTGGTGGGATTTTTAAGATGTTGTGTTTTTCGAGCTCCTACCAAGGAACCAAACAATCAATTTGAATGTGTATTGTCAGCAGTTGGACAGTTTGAATGAATTCATCATCCAGAAATGTCTAGAGCAGCGGTTCTCAACCTTCCGAATGCCGCGACCCCTTAATACAGTTCCTCATGTTGTGGTGACCCCCAACCATAAAATTATTTTCGTTGCTACTCTATAACTGTAATTTTGCTACTGTTATGAATCGTAATATAAATATCTTTTTGTTTTCCGATGGTCTTAGGCGACCCCAGTGAAAGGGTCGTTCAACCCCAAAAGGGGTTGCGACCTACAGGTTGAGAACCGCTGGTCTAGAGCTTGTTAATTGTAAAGGAGTTGTGTTCCATCACGACAACATGAGACGACACACAACAAATTTGATCACCTGTCAAAAATTATTGGAGCTTGAATGGGATGTGTTGCCACCCCCACCATACTCACCTAACCTGGCGCCATCAGACTTCCACTTGTTTCACTCTCTTCAAAACTCCTTGCGGGTATAACATTCAATTCAGATGAGGCTGTAAATCAGCACGTTGTTCAGGTTTTTGCAAATAAAGGCAGGTCCTTCTATGATCGAGGAATTATGAAGCTCACTGAAAGATGGCAAAAGGTTATCAAACAAAATGGGTAATATATCATTGATTGATCTTTGTTCTTTATATAAATTAATGACCTTTAAAAAGCAGACAAAATACATCATGACTTTTCCGACAAACCAATATATATTTATATATATCCCACTAATATACATTAAATCAAGTTAATTTTAATTATTCATATACACTTATATATGTGTGTGTATCTCCTTAGAAAGTAATATGTTCATATAGCACACCAGTTGATCTTTTTTTGGCACCGGTGGGTGGAACTTTCCTTCCCCCAGACTTGTGGAATTTTAAGTGGAGGGTTGAAGTAGGCTGTTGACATTGTTCTATCCAGATCTTAAATTTCTCTTTATCTCCTGCTGTTGAATTGACCTGTGGTCTCCATTAGTTGTATTTATTCATATTTTTCTTGATTCTCAGAGTCTTAAGTATTCTGAACTTTATAACCTCTGCTTTGTTCACTTGTGAAATAGTTTTAAATAATATAAAGATTAAAAGCCACAACTCATAATTAAGGGGAATATCCTACCTCTTCAAAGATCTGTTCAACCCTTGTTTATCCTCGACATTTTTGTGAACGAGCCAGTACTCGAAAGTTACCTTCATAAATATTTCTTTTGTCTGCGTCAATATATAGACAAATGGCATTTGATAGAGACCATCGAAATCAAAGGGAAAGAGTAATTCTAGAATTTTTAAAAAGGAACAGGCAGCCCTCCCTGGTGTGAAAGAAAATCCCATTACTTAACTAAAAGTTCCCTTTGTAAGTAACTTGACGAGTTTCAACAAAAGATAAAAGTATTCATGGAGTCCTGAGAAAGAGTAATTTTCAAGAAAATAAAGTGAATAAGCATGATCAAATTGTTCTAGAAGACTCTTTGCAAAGAGTGGACATCATTTCTGACACCCAAATAGTTGAAATTAACTTCAGAAATATAAGGGCTATTTGTAAGCGATTTCTGTAACTCAGTAGATTTTCCCTAGTATAAAATTTCAGAGTATAAAATCTTCGTTAAGGATGGATTATACATTCAAAGCACATCTGATACTATCCTCCAATATCCCAGTGTTTTTTATGGTAAAATATAAAAATGCACATGACATGATGGGCCAGTGAAGGGAAGAATATTCTGGGTCAGGAGAGCACATTTTTCTGTTTTCACTGTTTCCCTGTTGTTTGCCTTGAAATTATTTACTAAAACAACAGGCTGATTCATTCTCTACATCATCTTTGCTAGAAGAGTGTCTGCCATCATTTTCTGAAATGAGGATTTATATATCATTTTTTAAATTAAAAATAAAACGTGCTCCTAGGAAAACTAGATAAAATATCACATACATATAGCTCAGTAATTGTGTTAGCACTTATATTTGGAGCCTTTCATGTATAATTTTACTGCTAATATTTCCTTCAAATAATTTTAAAACACATTAAATATTCATGATAAAATTTGAGAGAGAATTATTTTCACAAAGGCCATTAGCCAGGTGCCCGATAGGAATTAAAAAGTACTTATTGGTCTGACAAGAAATGTAAAAGTTGACCTAAAGCATCCATGACTAATGCTGTACATCAGAAAATTTTATTGCCCTCCTCTGAAAATTGGTGTCGGCCTCAATAAATTACTGAAGTTATACATTTTGGGCTAATAGTATAGAGTGTGGCACTGTTAATGCTGAGCCCTCAGGAATTATGTGATAGAAATAAGGAAATGTATAAAGACATCCACTCTCTGTAATACTTTTTCCTCTTCACTTGTATAATTTAAGCTTTCAACACCATAGTAAATAGCAAGTAGTATATATATCATTTGTTCACCAGATTGTAAACATCTTTTCAGATCAAAAGTTACCAGGAAAAGATTTATGCACATGTATTACTGACAAAGAAAATTAACTGCAGCTAAGTCATCCATGAGGTGTGTTTGGAGACATCATATATCAAATACACAGTTTCATATTATAAAAATTTTGGTGCAGCTTAGTTTGCAATTGGCACACACTGAAGAAAATTGAATTTGTTCCCTGTCATTTCAGGGATCAACTCCCAGCTGGCTTATAGCATCGCTTCGGGGGACAGCCTGGGGCAGTTTGCAGTGGACCAGGACGGTGTGCTGACGGTTCTGAATGCGTTGGATCGGGAAAGTCAGTCCTTCTACAACCTGGTCGTCCAGGTGCATGACCTGCCACAACCCCCAGCCCCCAGGTTCACCAGCACAGCTCAAGTCTCCATTATTTTATTGGATGTCAATGATAACCCACCAGCCTTCCTTTCCCCGAAGCTGACATATGTCCCAGAAAACACACCTATTGATACGATTGTTTTCAAAGCTCAAGCAACTGACCCAGACAGTGGCCCAAACAGTTATATTGAGTACACCCTGCTGGACCCCTTGGGGAGCAAGTTTGGTATCGGGACCATCGATGGGGAAGTGAGGCTTGCTGGAGAATTGGACCGAGAAGAGGTTTCGAACTATACTCTGACCGTGGTGGCTACAGACAAGGGTCAGCCCCCTCTCTCTTCATCCACAGAGGTTGTGCTGATGGTACTTGACATCAATGATAACAGCCCTGTTTTTGCGCAGACTTCATATAAAGTGGAGATTAATGAAAACACACTTACTGGAACGGATATCATACATGTCTGCGCGACAGACAGCGATGAAGGGACCAATGGGCAGGTTCGTTATGGCATCGTTGACGGTAACGCCAATCAGGAATTTCGGATCGACTCAGTCACAGGTGCCATCACTGTGGTGAAGCCATTGGATAGAGAAAGGACCCCAACTTACTTTTTGACTGTCCAGGCAACAGATCGGGGCAGTACCCCCAGAACTGATACTTCCATTGTCAGCATTGTTCTACTGGATATTAATGATTTTGTTCCCATATTTGAGCTATCTCCATATTCTGTAAATGTCCCTGAGAATTTAGGGACTCTGCCTAGAACAATTCTTCAGGTCAGTATATTTAACGAAAACAAATATTGTGTTCCTTATAAAACACTGAATGTAACTATGGTGTTAAGTTCCCCCGCCCTCTTCCTCATTCTCATCCATAACTGTTTCATTGCAGATATGGCGGATCTTGACAAGGAATGGTTAATGGAAATTATACCTCAGAACCTGTTGTTTTCCTTGTAGATTAAATACTGCATTTTAATGATGTTCTTTCGTATATACTCATGCTGCACAAATTTATGTATTTCTGTATTTTTAATTTTGTTTTACTATAACAGTAATATCTGTACATAGCAAGAAAATCAAATGATGTAAAAGTTTGAAAATTTTGATACAAACACGGCTCACCCTTCCCCCTTTATAAATCCAACTACCTAGATGAAACTGCCGTTAAAAATTTTTGAGAAGCCTTCCCAAAATACTATGCATTGGTTTTATGCATATTTTTATACAAATAATGCATACTACTCTGTACCATTTAATTTTTTTACTTGAAACTTAAAACTGTGACTTTGGAACCTTTTGTTATCAGTAAGTATAATTCTACCTCATTATGTTTGATGATACATTTTATTTGGTGGTATACCTTATGCTAGCTCTACCCTTATTCATGGCCCTTATTATTCTCTCCTGCAGGTGGTAGCGAGAGATGATGATCAGGGTTCTAACAGCAAAGTCTCCTATGTCCTACTCGGTAGTAATGAAGACAGCGCGTTTACCCTCTCAGCTAGTGGAGAACTTCGGGTAACACAGAGTTTGGACCGGGAAACCGAGGAGCACTTTGTCTTGATGATCACAGCTACGGATTCAGGTAAGTCTGTTATAACCTTGTTTGGTTGTGAAAAGTGTCTTCATAATATGACCCAATGAAAGTATTTTTGTCTGCCATTAAACTAAATACTTATTGAAATTTACTGATGCTTGACACTCCTATTGTAGCTAGATAATTTATAGCACTTGCATCACTTTATGAGATTTATATGTAAGTGGCAAGGGCTTAAGCACATTACAAACTAAGCTCTATTCCTAAGACAAAATGTCTTAGGAGTGCCTCTGGGGCGACCTGGTACTCTACCGCTTGAGCCATGAGGCATTTCAAGTACTTTAGCTTTGAAAACATCCAGATGGTTGTAACTGGTTATGGAGATAAGAGAGTGGGTTAGAGTTCTACTTTATTGGACCTTAGTTTCTGCAAAATTTTAAGGAGCTGTAATAGACATTTGATGAGGCCCCACAGAGCTCCAAAAAATGTATCAGTGAGAGCTCAGCATTCTCCCTGAACTAGCAATGTAGTGCACTACCATGGAAATAATGAAAAGCAGTATATTAGCTTTAGTGTCGGAAATAATGATTACATAAAATTGTATAGTAGGTAGCATAAAATACAATCTGTCTAAAAAAAGTAATGTTTACCACTATTTTGTATTGCATATATATTGACTCTGTTCATAAATATTGAACACTTCTAATTCAAATTGAAACAGTTACACATTTTTAAAGAATTTGTATGCCTTGAAGAAAGGCATAAATACCCGTTGCTTAAATATTGGTTGAATAAATGAATGACTGAATGAATCATTGATTTCCAAAATATTAATGAATTATGGTACATTGTCCTTATGTAACATTTATAAAAATTGTCATAACTTACTATTAAAGAATTTAATAATGTTGATATGTTTTTTAAAAATTGTGTTGAAATTGTTTTAAACCATGGCTGATTTGTTAGAACCTCAAATGACTGAACTTAAAGTATATATATTTATACACACACACACACACACACACACACACACACACACGCACACACACACGCACACACTCATACAGATGTATGGATACTAATACAGAAGAAAAACTTTGAGTTTTCAAATGAATTGTTTTTTTATTGTTATTGAAATGTTTTTTATAAATGTAAGGTATTAATATTGTTGTTCTATATGACCAGTTTCAGAGTATATGATATATTGTTTTATTTCACCAGTTCACATGAAAGAGGAGGAAATGTTGAGATTACGAGTAATGATAGATTTATGTGAAGTATTCAGATGATAGCATGGCTTACTATTAACTGAGACTGCTCTCGCTCTGTATGGATTGCATTTACTTTTTGGGAGTGTAATTTTCTGAGACTATTGCTTTATGAAAGAAAGCAAATTTCTCTATTTTTTTAAATGTGTGTGAATGACCATTTTGATTTTATGGAACTATGAAATCCTGTAAACTGACGAGCAGAATGTAGTGTGGTAACCAGGTTGACCTAAAGGATGTTGCATTAAATGTGCAGTGAGCACCATGCTTTGTGATCAACGGGCACGAAGGGTGAGCGTTCTCATGTGAGAAATGCAGCCACTGCCCTATTGCTCCAATTGTCCCATATTTCAGGAGTTACTTGGAGTGAAGAGAGGGTGAAACTGAGCAGGGATGGTAGAGATTCAGGTACTTAGAACCAAGGTGATTACTAAAACATCTCAGCCTCAGCTTCTCTGTCCAGTTACAGCTGGGACCGTGTGGGCCATTCTAGGCACGCATCAATGGGGTCCCTTTGTGGAGATGATGCCGGGGAGGAAAACCCAGGCCCTGGAGTCCCGTTTGCTAAAGGACCAGTCAGTCACTATCAAACTTGCTGCCCAAGGGTGTCACATGCAGGTCACCCCAGGTGGGGAGTGGGACGTGTTTGTAAGCCAGAGGAGCAGTGGGGTGACCTGGGATGAGCAGGGCACAGCCCACGGACGCTCTCCATCAGAGGACTTGTACTTTGGTACATTCTAAGTCAAAAGCCATGGCAGAGAAAGGAACCATGTCGACAGAGTGCCTGTTTTCCACCAAGTAATTGTGAGAATTTAAGAATCATTTTGTTTGTTTATGCAGCTAAGGGCCGGGGATATTGTGAAAGGGAAGCAAGTGTTTTTTGTGTGTGTTTATATTTTGTTTTTGATATTTGGCCATCTGTGTCATGCAGTATTCCAGGTATTACAGACAATAACCATTTCTACACATTACTTTTCTTTATCAGCTCAAAGACTTAGGTGTTTTTAGTTCCACTTACAGTAAATCCAAGCTCAGGTGGTTAAATAATTGCCTCGGATTATACAGCTAATAAGTATCAGTAGGATGCAGACCCTAGCATATCTGACTTGCAGGTTCAGGGTTTACAGAAGGTTTTACTGTGTAGGTAAGTAAAATTTGAAAAAAAAATTCTTTTCTAAAATGATTTTATTTGCAAAGCAAATTCAGTAACAGTCTGCATAATATAATAATAAAAGCTTTGAATTTGAATTGATCTCGATTTGAATTCAGGTACTGTCATGTTTTTCTTTGTGATTCAGGCAGGGTGTCTCTCGCAATCTCAGTATCTTCCTCTGTAAAATGGGGATAATAGTAATTACAAATAGTTTATTATAAGGTTTTATTGATACACCATGTTAAACTGTTAAATATGCCCATCACATAGTGTATGTAATGATTTTACTGAGACTCGTGATCTGTGCAATTTAAACATTTTAAAGTTCTTAGAAGTATTTGCCTTGTTCCTTACCACATAAGTATCTTATTAAAAAATAAGGGCCGGCTGAGTGGCTCAGTTGGTTAAGAGCTCGCTCAAGAGTTTGAGCTCTGAGCACCAGTGATTCGATGCCCGGCCCAAGCTGAGCTGCTGCTGAGCTGCCAACAGGTGGCAGGATGGCTCAGCTAAAAAAAAATAGTAATAATAGACTGGTTTAAAAAACTTTTTTTTAAAGATTTTATTGGGGAATTGGGGGAGGGGAACAGATAAGTTGCTGTCCTTTTTGTTCTTCAGTCTAGTTGTGGAGGACGTCGCTTCACCAGCCCATGTTGGTATTATCATTGCGCTCTTCCCGGGTGAGGCAGTCACTCGCTGGCCATTGGACGGCCACTCATGGTGGCTCAGGGCAGCTCAGGAAAGCTCACGCCAGTTGCTGGCCAGCCCCACTGCAGCCTACGCCATCACTGGCGACTCACGGCAGCCCAACTCCAGGTTGAGCTGTTGTTCACCATCTTAGCTGTAGAGGGCGCAGCGTCACTGGCCCTCATGTGGGAGCAGAACCAGGGTCCTGCTGCTCAGAGCTGGCATTCCAAGCCAACTCCCAACCAATGTGCCACTTGCCGACCCTAAAAAACGTTTTTTAACTGCAATTCACATTAGTTTCATTTTTGATATTACTACATTAGGAGTTTCTTTTGTGTATCAGATATTGCTTTTCAAACTTCCAAAGGATAAATTGCATAGTCAGTGTTTAACCATTTATAAAGACCACAGATTTTGAAAATTGTAGTTGAGTCAAATCATAATGAAGGAGGATTTCGCGGGCTAGCCAGTAAGCTTAACCACCACTGGTAATGCTGTTTCCCCATCAAAACGACGATACAAAAGGGACATTTCATGAGGGCAGAAAGCAAGAAGGAAAGGAGACTTGAAGTGATGACGCCAAAACATTCTCTTCTGATAGGCAGGGGTGCCTCAGCCTGTTGCGAGGAACTTTCAGGAGATTCGGTAAAACATGGTTCTAACCGTGCAGACTCAGCCAGAACCAAGTCCTGGGTCAGGGAGCAGATTGTGAGCTCCTGGTGCCCATAGCCTTGGTTCTGAGGCAAATCGGGGACCGAGAATTCTTACTGTGAGGACACGTAATAGAAATATAACTCTAATTTCTAGGAAGGACTATTGCCATTACATGAGAAATGTGAAGACCAGGTGTGTGTAGATTCTGAGATAGGAGAGTTAGGAGTTATGGAGACTGAAAACTCAGATTATCAGTAAAATGAAGGTATCTGGAAGTTTGTCATTCGGGGCCTTAAATATGGCACTAAGGAGCATGATGGGGAGCAGAGAAAAGACCCAGTAGCACTGGCACCTCAGGCCACAGATTTTGGCGGTCCTGGAAATTAAAGAATTGATTGAACTTTGCCCCAAAACACAGGTTTTTAGGAGTGTTTTTTTTCCCATTTTTCTTTTTCTTTTTTGACTTGCGCTGAAATGGACTGGTGTTTCTGAGGCCGCTCGTGTGAAATTAGGTGTCTGAAGATCATTTATAGAGATCATGTAGAAAGCAATCAGAAATTGTGAGGGAGGCTGGACTAGATGATCTTAAAGTCATGAAAACTCATATGTGACCATGATTTTATGTTCAGTTCCTACGCATACTTTTGGCATCATAAATAACCATTTTAAGGGAGAATGTGAGAGTTTTAGATATCAGGCTTTAGATTCGGCAGTTTAATCCTATGTTCCAGGAATGAAGTCTCTTGATACAGGATGTAAAATACATATTCACTGCTATGATTTAAAAGTCAAATGGGTAGATGACATGAGAAAATTCAGAAAAATATGACAGCTTTTAGATCCCAGATGCCATGTTATTCTCAAATTAGCAGTGTTCTAAGAACCAGAAAAATATCAAAGTCTTCTAAACAAGAAGAAATATTTGACAGTTTTATTCCTTAGCTCACAAATCACTTTTACTTTACTCTTTTTAAATCCTTACCTGATGTCAGTCCAAAGATGGGTCAGCTTTGGCAACGTGGCAGAAACTGAAAAGGCAGCATTTTTTTGTTTATCAGCAAACCTCTAAATCTTTGAATATTTTTTTAGGGAAAATATTAGCATTCTACTATCATCATATTTTTATTTACTGACTGCCTGGCTATAGAGTAGCATATCTGGGAACTCGCTTGCTGCTCCTGTCTACTGCCTAAATTGAGCTACCAAACCACATTATAGTGTGTGTGTGTGTGTGTGTGTGTGTGTGTGGTGGGGGTCTGAATGTTACATTACTGACTAACAAAACCAGA